CCCCCCCCCCTCCCCACGGCTTCCGTGCTACAACGGCTTTATTGTTTTTTTTAAGTGGACGTTGTTCTGCTTATAACCATCGAGGATGAATCTCTATAGCAATTTAGAATTTCTTCCCACTCTTTTCTATTCATCCAGATATGGTTAAGAAAAGACTTTCGACATCTTCGATCCCTCCCCCCTCCCTCCCTATTCATTTTCGATTTCACCTACTTCAAAACCTAATGAATGTGATAAAAGATCCCATTTTTTGACAAGAAGATAAAACACTCACAATTTCTCATTTTTTGTCCTGATTTTCTCTTAACCAATTTTAACGAACACATTAGCTGTTAACCTGCCTTTCTATAAAGTTAACATTTTCCTTAGACGTCGCTTATAGGAAATCAAATGATATAAACACGCCTCTTGGGAAAATAAGTAGTATATCTATATATACAGTAGTCTGTTCAACGGCATTATTATAGTCTGTGATGAGGTCATTTGCTTTAAACTCAATCAAAGAAAGACCTGTTATTAGGTATCACAAGGCAGGTAGAATGAGAAAAGTCTCCTGTTTAACATCAGTAGTATATTTTAATTATTTCTTTCTAGTGCCGGAAAACTACGGGTCCACCATTATCACATTCATCGGACAGAAGCTGGAACCAACCTTTCCAATGGCCATGCTAATGGAGGTGCTAACGGTAACAACGCAAGCACCAACAATAGCAATGGTGTCAGCGTAACCAATGGCAATAACGGAACCCCAGTTAACGGCCATTCAACAGGTGGCAGTGGGGGAGGGGGCAATGGTGAACCACAATTTTACCTCTCAGAGAAACATGCTTTCCCAACTATTAGTGAGGTGATTCATTATCATAAACACAACTCTGGTGGATTGGTCGTTCGATTGCGCTCTCCGCCAGTCAAAGACCGAGAGAGTCCTGTTACTGCCGGGATGGGCTTGGATGAATTCGAGTTGGATCCTGGTGAACTGCAAATTGATCCGGAACCCATCGGAAAGGGACAATTTGGGGTATGTCTGTTGTCCCTCTCCTTTTTGACGCTATCCTTCTTATATGTCAGTCTATTTGAAATGTCCGAGTCTTTTGCTATTAAACCACTAAGGGATTTGGAAAAGCCGTCCTATTAGAGCGAGAAATAGGTAATAGTAGGGACTAACACAATGTGTAGCACAGTATATAATGGAATATGTAGTGCCCATAATAGCTTTAGACGTTGTGGTCCTTTGTAAGCAGGTCGTGGATCTTTTAATCCTCAGGTAATTAGTTCTTTTAGTTCTATTAACATTTATCGCATTGTGTGTATGTGCAATTTTTTTCAGCTTATTTGTGCTTTACTTCACAATCAATAACAAAGAAACTACCGTTTTCTTCTTTTTTATACTCTAGGTTGTCAAGCGAGGCAAATTCCGTAACATTCCAGTGGCAGTTAAACAGATGGTGGAAAACGCGATGAATGAGGAGGACTTTATCGAGGAGGCAAAGAATATGAGGTACGTCCTCCTCTTCACTATTTTATTCCACTTCTCCCTTTTACCTCTACGCTTTTTCATTTTCCTAAAGGTAGCTTAGCTAGCCTTTTCTCGTCATCAGCCTATTTTATAAAGTTCTTGTTGCGCAGAATATTCGGCAGAAATTCGTTTCCCTATCCCAGCCTCTAATTAGAAGAAAAGCATAAAAATGTTTAAACTAGTAATGGGACAAGTCTTGTCAACCTACCAGGTGATTTTCCTTTCCAGTTAGATTTCAGCTACGCCCTTAGATAGGGGGAGTTTGTTTGCATTTGCTAATCGCAATTTAATTATATATATAATATACTATATAATATATATATATATATATATACATATAAGCCCTATTATGGAAATTTACTATTTTTTGTGGGTTATAGAACCTTAGACAATGATAGTTGGCCTTTTTGTACTTAGAATGCTTACTCGGGTTATCGTTATGGAAAGTATGAGCAACAAAATGTGCTTTAGCGCCATTGCTAATAGCGTAGTGATCAATGTACAGGTTTGTCAAGCCGGACCTCATAAGATTGCCATGCGCATTTAGTGGTGTGAATGACCGCTCATTTTATTTAGTTCCTATCAACGATTGCTCTCTCTAGAGTGCTCTTTCATCTTACCTTCCCTCAGCCAAATTCAAGTGTTAAAGCGTTTTTTAATAAACTTGAGTAGTTTAGCAACAACAGTAAATATCAAGGGCCAGGCAATGGAGCAATCATTCGATCTTTATTATTAATTTTGCAAACCCCTTGTACCTTTTGCGTTGATAATTTAATTAGCGAGATTCATGAATGCTCTTGTCTGACTCGTGTACTGGCAGAATCGAATTCAAAAGCAAGACTATTTCCCGGTTAACTTTTTACAGATCTTGTTGTCTCGACTTCTAGAGTTTCGTTTCGTTTTCCCCCTTTTGTTTTCATTATCCCTAACCCTCCATTTTTCTGCTAGTATTTCTGCCTAATAATTATGATAATTTTTTATTTGGATCTATTTTTTAGCTTAATTCATTTTTAAAAGCGCATACACCCCTCTTACTAGGTGACTAATCTAATGAATTATTTAAGACTTAAGTTTAATAATAAAAGTAATTAGTCATCTGACCAACTTGATTTTTCCTTTGCCTTTTGTAGGTTCCTAAATCATCCCAACTTGGTGCAGCTTTTCGGCGTAGTGTTGAAGAAGCGACCCATCATGATAATCACAGAGTATATGAAATACGGTAAGTCTCTGTCTCCAGACTTGGCATTTTGGCATTACTTAGATGCGTTCTCACGCCCTCCTTTAAATTAGTCACCATCAGTGTCAACACCTTACTTCCGTAGGCTTTTCTTATCATGAATCCATTAAGAGGTGAGTGACATCCTCTGTACGTAATAGCAAGTTACCTATAGGCAGTGTATATTTGCCTGTTCACTAAACTTCTTCTTTGATAACTCTTCCCTGGTGATTCATTTGCTCCTGTTACTTAAGATCTGTCCAATTCCTTCTTTGGTTCTTCGACTTTTTTGTTATCAGAACAGGACCTTTGCTGTTTCAAGGAAATACATTGGCATATTTTTTATTAAATGTTGCCTCTTAGAACTCCAATAACCAGTCAACGTTTTGGCGTATTTACAAGTTTTCTCCACACTAAAAAAGTGTTTCCTATGATTTATTACTTTTATGTTCTCATTAATCTGTCAAAAGTTGATCGTTCTTGGACTTAATCGTCAGTTCTTTCTGCTTATAATAGTCTGCTTTTTCACCTCCCTCCCCCCTCCCCTATCCTTTAGTTGGGGGGGGGGGGGGGGGGAGTTACATCATTGGCCTTCCTCTCAGCTTGCCAGTTCTGTGCCTTGAGGGATTTAAGGGATCATTTTAATGGGCTCCTGCTTGGTGACTCATCAAGTTCTTTTGCTACCTCGATTTTTTTAAATCCTGCAATTCTCCTTTTGCTCCTTTTTTATTTAGCAGAAGGGAGAAATTCGCTATGTCTTCCTTTTTTTAAACCCTTTTAACGTCCTGCAGAACCGTACGATCCTCTTTTAAAATAAGTTCCATTGCTACTAAACTCGTAACAGAAGGCGCTATCGCCCTTTGCTTGTTACCACCAAAATTCCCTCACGTCGGCGGCATCAGTCTGCTTCTGTGAGACACACGTGAGTGCCGTTGGGTGCATTTTTCGAAAAAAAATTGCTCTGTCGTTAAAGGGTTAAACTTTGCCTCTTGTGAAAACAAAGATTGCTTATCCACTTACTTCTATTTCAACTTTTGCCACCCCTTATTCTGATTTGACTAGAGGTGAAATAACACTTGCCGAAGTAACACCTTCTTCCCTTATTGAGTACCGCTAATCCTTTTTATATTTTTCCTCTTTTTACCCTAGATGGAGTTGTACTTTTAATTCATTCGGATTTTCTTCTAATTAAAATAAGTAACACAATATGTGCGCCTTGCGTGTCGATATTACCACTGGCTTAATTTGTTGTCTCAAATGTAGGCGAGCGCTCGCTCGTTTCTATAGCTCCCTCTTTCAGTAGAAAGTAATCATTCTTATCGTTCTTTTCTACTTGAATTGGATACCAATGTTGCGGACTTAATTTAGCACCTATCCACATCTCTCTTTTTCATCTGCCTATTCTTTGAAATATTAAATTTAAAAAATGAAGTAACCAGGTGAGTTATCACTTGTCCAACGTAAGAGACGAATTTTAACTTTTTGTAAATCTAAATGCTCGCGTATCTGCGTATTTACAAATGCAAAACCTGTTTTAAATGAATTTGAGTTTACTACAGAGTGTTTTTGTGTGCTCCTACTTTGGGTTATTCAACAGGGTTGTACCTGTTTCTACTCCATAAAGGGAGTTGCTTTACTCCCAAATATTTCCCATCGGATTATGTAATGTTGAATGTATTTACAAATTGTCGGCTTAAAATTATGTTCAGTTAGTGGGCCTGTAATCTCCCAATCGGTTAGTGTGTTTGATTTGGAGATTTGTCAACTAATTAGTGCTTAGAGGCTTATTTGTTCCTCTTATCACTTGTTCAAATTTAGTCTATCGCTCTCTTCAACGAATGTCTTCTCTTGAATTTCGAGTTGAATCCAGTTGGTCCCTCGCTTCCTGTAAATCCCCAACCCGATGCATAGCCCTCCTGTGGCATTTAGGGACATACATTTTCTTTGTACCTACGTAAGCAATTGGTTTTCCAAAAGTATGGCTAGAAAAAATTTATCGATGGGATTTTCCAATGGCCTTTTCTACGTCGAGAATATATATATATATAATATTATATTATATTATATGGAAAGCCTTTGTAATAGCCGAGCAACTTTAAACCGGCGATAACAAGCTAGTCTCAAGAAAATACATCAATAATAAAAGGCTTGTTTGGGTGACTAATTCATCTTCTGGTTATATGAAAAGTTAGTATTTAAGGCATCTTGACGATTGCATTGCAGAATTTTTATGCCGACGAGGTCATTTTGCAAATGTTTGACTTAAATGTAATACAGAGATCTTTCTGTGCACGATTTCTGTGTTGTTATTTGAGCTGTAATTACTGGAAGACCAGACGTTCTTTTGTGCCCTTTTTCAGGCTAATTTAATAGCTACTTGTCGTTTATTCAGGAAGGAAATTACATGGTTCACGTATATGCGTATCAGTTCCTTTCGAACACCGTTTTCTATTATTCATTGCCGAGTAATGACCTCTGAGCATCGAGACATCTTGGACTGCGTTCAAAAATGCCGACGACTTCCTCCTGGCTCCTAAACTCAGCGACACTTAAAAGCTGACTCGTTAGGACTAATATCTTTCAGATGTTACATCAAATGGCAGGCGTTTTGATAGTTATCATTAGCCCTTTAGTTGACTTCAGGCTTCACAGAGGGGAAGGAACATCAAAGTGAAAAAAAAGTGGAGAGGGGGAGGGGGAAACAAGAGCGTTTCAAAGATGTACAAGAGACAGACACAAAGGTAGA